CCACACTCAGTTTCGGCCCATGCCAGACATATTCGACTGTGCTCAGCAGTGGATTGACCTTGCCAAGGAAATCAGTCGGCTATACCCATGTTCATGGGCCACTGTAAACAACAGCTAACATCCGAAGCTAGCAACTTCCGTAGGTCGGGAACTCAAGGGATGACCCCGATATACTGCTACTCTAGTGACTGGCTGTCGTTTCGAGATAGTACTGATTATCTCAGCGATTTTTCGGATTAGAACCAACGTGTTCGCTGTCTTAGGAACTAGATTCTGAGCGAAAATCCTCGCGCAGTCAGAAAGTGGGGAAGAAAGAAAGAAGAGAAACGCGACCATGTTGCGCCATTCCATATTTTCGCTCTCAAGTTTACTGGCATATGCCACCTTAAGCTTGGGACGCATGAAGACGTTCAATGTTCATGATGACGTATTGGCTTTCCCGCAGGTGAGAATTATTCTACTCTTCTTCAAGAAGAAATGAAAATGGATGTACTGGCTAACTTACATAAACCGCGTTTTTAATCTAGTTTGAAGTTCATTTCCCTCCTGAATATATCCTCGCTTCAGATGTGCAAGAGGCATTAGCACACCAACCATCATCCTCGAAACAAAGTTCTGCGACCTCCTTGTTATCACCTCCGTCGTCACCACCCCTCGATTCCATAGTGCACCTAGAGAGATCGCGGCAACAGGCTCCATTGCAAGATGAGAAGGAAGAAGCTGAAAAAGAGGAGCACACTCCTCCCGATGACGGGGTGGAGAGATATGAAGAAATGATTCTCGAAGGTGCCCGATACCTTTGCTCTGTGCCCAAAGTGGCAGCGACAAATGAAATAGAAGATGCGGCTACAACCCCGGCTGAGCAAGAGAAAGAACTGGCGCGAGCTGCTGATCGTGGATTGGAATTACTTAGTGATATGAAAGGGAGATGTATGTACTACGTTGCGGGATGGTGGTCTTATTCCTTCTGTTATATGGACCAGATCAGGCAGTTTCATGCTCTGGCGCCGGGGAATGGAGTCCCGGCTTACCCGCCTGTTGAAGACCCTGCCGCGCAATCTTATGTCTTAGGAAGATTCCGTGGCGAGAAGCAGGGCAATAAGAATGGAAAGGGTAGTAGAAATAGCCAGTCGTCGTCTGGCGGTGATCGAAAATCCTCTACAACGGAGGTGGCAGAGCTACAGGCCAATGGTGACTCGCGCTACCTCGTGCAACGTCTGGAGGATGGAACCTTATGTGACATAACTGGCAAGAATCGAAAGATTGAAGTCCAGTTTCACTGCCACCCGCAATCGACGGATCGCATTGGGGGATC